GTGTGAGCACACAGAGAGTGGAATATTATTACCCCGGCTGGTGTGAGCACACAGAGAGTGGAATATTATTACCCCGGCTGGTGTAAGCACACAGAGAGTGGAATATTATTACCCCGGCTGGTTTAAGCACACAGAGAGTGGAATATTATTACCCCGGCTGGTTCAAGCACACAGAGAGTGGAATATTAGTACCCCGGCTGGTTTAAGCACACAGAGAGTGGAATATTATTACCCCGGCTGGTTTAAGCACACAGAGAGTGGAATATTATTACCCCGGCTGGTTTAAGCACACAGAGAGTGGAATATTATTATCCCGGCTGGTTTAAGAACACAGAGAGTGGGATATTATTACCCTGGCTGGTGTAAGCACACAGAGCGAAGCGCAGAGCGTCTGTCCCACACTCTGGAATCCCATTGGGATAGTCAGCTTTCTGAAACAGAAAATTCACAACATCATTACAAAACGGCCCCAGACTAAGTCCAGAAGAGACAGAAGTGTTTCTGAAAACCTAGGCTTCCCCTCGACAAAGGGTAAAGACATGTTAGAGTCCTGAAAAGAATCACTTCCTGCAGAAAAGGATGCAGGTAAAAAGGAAAGATTTTCTCAAAGGAAGACACACCTGCCCCTGTTTGGCTCGTTCAATCTCCACGGGGTCCAGGTTGCTGTCGGCCAATTGGTCGTGGAGGCCCTGGGGGTGAAGAGAGAGCAGATTCAGCTAGGTGCAACGCTGAGGGTGTTATGAAATGTAATGTCATCAAATACTTAATTTACTCCTGACACTAGTTTGAATACAACTAATTTACAGAACTTCAGAACTTCATATACTGTAACAATACTAGCAAGTGTGGCTATAATTGTAATTACAGACCTCCACTGGTCAGGCTTCTTTAATTCACCAATAATTAATTGGAAGTGGAGTTATTAACAGGATATAGCTTAAAAGTCAAATAGTTTTAAAACCTAAGAAATGTAAAAACTAAAAAAAAAAAAATTTGTCTTAGAGCCTAAAACGTTCAATACTAGATCCCTAACACTGACCACATAAAAGCACTCAGGAGTAGACACAAATCACATACAACAACCCTTCTTTGAGCCTGACTGCATCTAATCAGTTCCACAAAAGAAAATACAGTTACGTGCCACAGCTCTGGTCTAAGTCCCTTTCATGTCCACTATCTGATAGTCCGTCCATTTATCCAGGAGGAATTCAGACACGAAGTTATGGGTTATAAAGCTTTAAACCACTCTCTCCTGTCTTGTCACTACTTCTCTCCACTTCAGTAAAAATTCTAAACCCACCAACTGAGGTAAAGTTCCATTCCTGATTAAGTTAGGCAGCCACCTGGTCTCAACTCCGCAGGCCCATCATCCCCAGTCCAGAAGGCATGGACAAGGTTTCAGTCCATTCAGGCTCTTAACGACCTCAGCCCATTGATGGCTTAATAGTTTAACTGTTCTCTTCTCTGGGCACTTCAGGTGCCGCTGCTTTAAAGACACCTAGAAGACCTGCCAACACATCGCCCCTCTGTGACAAGGACTACAGCAGGGCAAGGGGCTGAGAGTGGAGGGGGAGTTCTTTAGTAATGTAAGGGGGTATGAATACAGGCGTTTTGAAGATACCCCCTGCCCGCACACCCAACATCGTTATGTTATTGTTCTCACTTCCAGCGAGATCCCGGTCACCACATCCAGCGGGTCGATGACGTTGCCCAGCGACTTGCTCATCTTCCTACCGTGGGCGTCTCTCACCACCGCATGCAGGTACACCTGAAACAGAGAGCTGCTGTAAATACCGGGGACACAGCTGCCCTTGTCAGAACGGGCTTTTACCACACACTGGTTCTGTCATGGCTTCAAACATCTGTATTACACATTCAACACAATCCAATACACCTCCCCTTAGAGTACAGGATGTTTTTTGTCATTATTAACCATTTTAAATGTATACTGTGCTCTACTGAAAAGAAAACAGGGCTAGAATGTGAGTTTAATGGGCTCAGAGATTAGGAAAGTCCTGTGGGGGGAAACATGCAATATAACTCTCACCTACTGTATAAAGCTATCATGAGGGACTAACGACACAAAAACCTTTACACCTGAATTGATCATTGAAAAGCAGCTCCTTAACTGGGAAACAGATCAGTCAATGCTGAGATTAAAGCAACAAAAACTAAACTAATCATACTTTACACTTTACATTGCAGTTTCATATCACATATCATATCACATTTCAGACATTACATGTTTACCTGTCATACAACACAATGCTCACTCACAAATTCTTACACAATAGCCATACTAATCTCTGCTTGTTGTCAACTTACCTAAACGTATGAATTCATAAAGCCGAATATTTTTTTAAAAAATCAGTTAAAATCAAAACGAACACAGTGATAACAGACAGATCAAACTTTTGAACTAGCTCCGGTGTCCCTATTCCCCCCTCCGCACTCTTACCTCCTTGAAGGGCAGTTTGCCGGTCAGTTTCAACCCCATCATGACCATGCGGGCCACCCAGAAGAACAGAATGTCATGTCCCGTCTCAAGAAGAGTCCCAGGATAGAAAACCTGCAAGTCCTTGGACTGGAGACAGGGAGAGGGAAGGATTATGAGTTTGTCAACACATTTTTCAGCTATAATGTTCCTTTATGTTAACATCATCACAATATATGCGATTCCTATACTTTGTGCAGAAGTCAGAAGTAAAAGAGAACAAAAACAAAGAGGAAAGAAAAAAGGTTCCCTTGGGGCAATCAAATAAACAATATTAAGAACAAGCTTGAAATTTTAAGAGTGAAGAAATAAGGGTAATTTGCCATTTGAAATTGATTGGATTGTTACCGTCTGGCAGGGCAGGGTATGACCAGCCTCTGCAGTGAAAGCATTCTCCAGGAGGAGGTGCTACAGTCTACAGTTTAACATCTCTGAAGGACTAGAGCCACCAGCCTTACCACCTTACCACCAGCAGAGGCAAGGCTTCAGTGACGTGGCTCCAACAGATAACATTGTAAGACCTTGGGTTCAATGTTATCAATGTAATCCCAGCAGTGAGAGGCCTTACAGATGGTTTTCCCAAGCCTTGCATTTTATCCCAGATGAGCTGTGTGACTTAACCAGATGCTGGAAAGAGCACCTCCAGCACACTAAGAGCTATAACATGTTCAATAAAAAACACAAGTAACAAAGGGATCAGGAGGATGGAAGACAAACACACCACCCTCAGAGAAAGCAGGGTTCTAATCGTTACCTCGTTGGGCCAGCCGAAAATGGAGAAGGGGAAGATCCCAGAGGAGAACCAGGTGTCCAGCACGTCCTCATCTATGAGACAGATAAAACCGAACAAAAATAATTTAATCTTGCCCTATGTGCTCTCTCCACGGTTGGTAACACTATACCACAAAAGCCTGAGGCCTTTCCTACACATATGTACAGTGTAAGCAGTGTAAGTGGAGCGTGAGTTTAGATTCCATTTTTTAATTTTGCACGAACAGTACGTCTTAATATTAATGGCAAACTTGTCCAGAAGGAAGAGTGCCATCTACTGGATCATCAACACCACATACAGCGGGAACCTGATTTTCTTATCGTTCTTCTAACCCATAACTGACCATTAACAAGCTAAGAAAGGCTAGGGGAGATCTAATGAGATCACAACGGTACAAGATAGAAACATGACTGTTTCGTTTTCAAAACAGAACTCGGCTAATTTGCACTGGAACTGGATCTACAGTATGTGCTGTGGTTTATGATCCGTATTTTTTAAAAAGTTACAAGATGGTCCAGTGGTTAAGCTGCAGGGCTTGTTATACCAGGTCAGCTGTTCCAGTCTTTAGCATACAGGGTTTAAAAGTTGCCCGCTGCTCCGGTGGTTAAAGACCATAACTCACCCTGCCGGAGGGAGATCTTGTCAGCTGTGACTCCAAACATCTTAGCTGCCTTCTGTCGGGCCTCATCTTCAGTGCGGCCACTGACCCAATACTTCCCATCCATGTCCTAAACACAAATAAGGTCAGATTAATAAAGCATTTCCTAAAGGATTAATCCCTTCCTGCCTAACTTTTCTTCACTGCAGTTGTCCCAGTGTGCCCCTGTGTTAATGGGATCTATGAAGCTTCCTAGTTTTGCTTGTCAGCTACAGTTGCAAGAAAATGTTTTTGGACCCTTTGGAATTACCTGGATTTCTGCATTAATTACTCATAAAAATGTGGTCTGATCTTCAACTTAGTCACAATTGTACTTCTTCTTGTCAATATTAAACACATTGTTTAAACATTCACAGTCCAGGCTGGAAAAAGTATGTGAACCCTTGTATTTAGTAACTGGTAGAACCGTGCACAACAGTTAGTAGGAATTTTAGACCATTCCTCCTTATAAAACTGTTTCAGTTCCTTGATATTTCTGGGATTCCTTGCTTGAACAGCTCTCTTCAGGTCATGCCACAGCATCTCAATTGGGTTGAGGTCTGGACTCTGACTTGGCCATTCCAGAACACAAATGTTCTTAAGTTTAAGGCATTCTGTTGTTGATTTACTCCTGTGTTTTGGGTCATTGTCTTGTTGCATCACCCAACTTCTATTAAACTTCAGGTGACGGACCACTACCCTGACATTCTACTGTAAAATTGCTTGATACAATTTGGAATTCATTGTTCCCTCTATGATAGCAAACTGTCCAGGCCCTGAGGCAGCAAAGCAGCCCCAAACCACGATGCTCCCTCCACTATGCTTCACGGTTGGGATGAGGTTTTTGGTGTTGGTGTGCAGTGCTTTTATTCCTCCAAACACAGCGTTGCACGTTTCTGCCAAAGAGTTCAACTTTTGTCTCATCCACCCACAGAACACTGTCCCAGAAGCATCGTGGAACATCCAGGTGGTCTTTTGCAAACTTGAGACGTGCCTCAATGTTTTGTTTTTTTGGAGAGCAGTGGTTTCCTCTGTGGTGTCCTTCCATTAACACCATTCTTGTTCAGTATTTTTCTTATAGTGGACACATGAACAGAGACTTTGGCAAGATCAAGAGTTTTCTGCAGGTCCTTTGCTGTTGCCCTAGGGTTCTTTTCACCTCCTTTAGCATTGCAACCTGCGCTTTTGCCATGATCTTTGCAGGACACCCACTCTTAGGGAGGCAGGCAACAGTACTGAATTTCCTCCATTTGTAGACAATTTGTCTTACTGTGGATTGATGAACAACCAGGCCTTTAGAAATGCTTTTGTAGCCTTTTCCAGCTTTAAGCATCTCTACAATTCTTCTTCTAAGGTCCTCTGATATTTCTTTTGATCAGGGCATGGTTCACATGAACAGCTCTTTGTTAAGAGCAGACTGTCAGTAACCAACCTTTGTGTGCCTTTTTTATAGGGCAGGGCACCTCCAATCTCATCTCATTGATTCCATCACCTGACTCCAGTTAGCTTTTGGAGAAGTCATTAGCTTAGAGGTTCACATACTTTTTCCAGCCTGGACTGTGAATGTGTAAACGATGTGTTCAGTACTGACAAGAGGAAGTACAATTATTTGTGTATTATTAGTTTAAGCAGATTGTGTTTGTCTACTATTGTGACAAACGTTTCCCATCATGTGTATCACATGAAAGCAAACAGGCTAAAGGAGTCACTTTTACACTTTTACACTTGAACAATAAAAAACTATGAACTGTGGGAAGGCCAGATCATACAAGAGTGCAATGTATTTAGTACAACATGATTAACACCCCTATCTTACTCCAATGAGATGCTATAGAAACACCGTTAAGCAAAGACTATATACCCGTCACTATCTCCAGTGTAGACTGAATGGCAAAAAATTACGGACAGAACAAGAAGCCTTACCTCCCCAGCTGGGACTGAGGGATCATCGACAGTCACAAAGTAGGCCGGGATCCGGTGACCCCACCACAGCTGCCGAGAGATGCACCAGTCCCTGCAGGGCAAAAACACACAGCATTCAGCACCTTTGCCAAAATTAGGCTCCTCTTCTCTCCTTATATCCTAGTCCTGTGATGAGGCTTAGCTTGCACTGTGTTACTTCACCTGATGTTGTCCATCCAGTTGAACCAGGTCTTGGTGTGGGATTCCGGGACGATCCTCAGCTCTCCTGAGCGGACGGCCTCAGCGGCCTGTCGACCCATCTCCGCACAGTTCACGTACCACTGCGGCTTCATCAGCGGCTCCACCACATCCTTCGAGCGGCTGCACAGACGGCAGCGTGAGAATTCAGACACATTCACCCAAGAAAACGTTCACACTACTTTTTCTAAGGATGGGAAGGTGGATGTGATGCTCACCTGCAGACAGGAACGACCATAGGGTTGTCCTTCACCTCCCTGAATAGGCCTCTATCCTTCAGAGCCTGGAGAACTGCCTTCCTGGCATCAAACCTCTTCATTCCCTGAGAAAGGGGTAAATACAGACACACTGACTGACTGGGCACTACAGGACATTAACACTGCACTGAGAGAGAGGGGGGTTAATACAGACACACTGACTGACTGGGCACTACAATACATTAACACTGCACTGAGAGAGAGGGGGGTTAATACAGACACACTGACTTACTGGACACTACAGTCCATTAACACTGCACTGAAAAAGAGAGGGGTTAATACAGACACACTGACTGACTGGACACTACAGTCCATTAACACTGCACTGAGAGAGAGGGGGGGTTAATACAGACACACTGACTGACTGGGCACTACAGGACATTAACACTGCTTTAAGAGAGACGGGTTAATACAGACACACTGGACACTATAGTCCATTAACACTGCACTGAGTGATTAGGGTTATTACTCACACACAGACTGAATGAACACTAACTATAACCCTGCTGAGCTACAATACACAGATATACAGACTGGAATACCTACTCTGAACCCACATCCCACTGGACTGAACTGGGAAAAGGCTAAGAAGCAAGAGATTTACCAGGAATGGTTCCGGCACATTGATGAGGAAGCCGTTGTCATCCAGGATGTTAATGAAGTCCAGGCCCTGGCGCAGCCCCACCTCGTAGTCATTGTGGTCGTGGGCCGGTGTGATCTTAACCGCTCCTGCACAGGAGAAACGGGAGGCCATGACTGCCTGTCCCCAGCCCAGGCCGGGAGTAGCTCAACCTCTCTGTCGAGAAGACTTATACCTCAGCACTGCAACTGTCCATCATCCTTACACAGCTGTAACACAGCTCCCGCACAGACTCTGCCCCTCACCTGTCCCAAAGCTCATGTCCACAAACTCGTCAAACACCACGGGCATCTTCCGATCGCAGAAGGGGTGAGTAGCGGTCTTGCCTCTCAGATGCTGCAAGGTAGGCACAAGTCAGGTTTCAGTCAGAGGCTAAAGAAACCCTCCTCGGAGAGTGTTTAAAAACGAAGCGCGCGACGGAAGAGCGCTGACCTGGTAGCGGGGGTCCTGGGGGTGCACAGCCACCGCGGTATCACCCAGCATGGTCTCGATACGGGTGGTCGCCACGACAACCTCTTCATCTGAAACCAAGAGTAGAGGCTCAAAGAGACTGCAGTAGGCCTGAGAGAGTGAGAAACCACCAAAATAAAACTGACACTGCTTTCCGGATGGGAAAAGCTCCAACGTTCAGTGCTCTACAGTAGGTCTTTCCCATCACAAGGCGTGAAGGAGGAAATAATTAACGCCGTTTTAAAGTTAGTACAAAAAAGGTCTGTTTCCTAGTAACGTATTATGGACTCAAGAGTACTTTTCATAAACTTTTAAAATATTATTAGGTACACTGTGTTTATCAAATTTCCATGGTGACAGCACACCCTGGACAGTGATGTGCCTATGTGGTTTTAGAGATGATGGAAAGGGAGATGTGTGGTTTTTGATCGCTCACCAGAGCCCTCGATCTTGTAGGCAAAGGACACCAGTACCCCGAACTCGACCTTGTCCTTGTACCCCGGGACAGGCAGCAGAGTCCGCCCACTCAGCTCCTTTTTATCCACCTGCACAAAGACAAAGTCTGACATTACTGACCGGAATGACTGGGCGCTGTCTGACAGTAAACCGCACAGGCTCAAACAACATGGTATATAGCTTGAATCTCAAGAATAAACATAACACTTTGACAAATACATAAATAAATCTGTTCAAATGGACTGCATCATTGGTAAGGTTTAAACAGAACAGTTTCAAAGCTAGACTTAAAAGCAGACCAATATGTTCGCAGATGACTGAAACCACATAAATGATCTGTCATCAAACCCACCTCAATGTCAGAGATGGCGGAGTTTAGGGTGCAGGACCAGTTCACCAGCCGCTTGCTGCGGTAGATCACTCCTTCCTCGTGCATTTGTACGAATGCTTCTTGCACAGCATATGAAAGTTTCTGGAGCACAAACAGGAAAGAGGCTCTGGGTTAATGGAAAGGGGGGG